GGATGAAAAAAAAAAAAAAAAAATCAGCAAATCAGCAATTCATACAAAACAAGACTAGCCCCTAAAATAAGTGTGTGATGTACATAACACAATGCATGAAAGGTACAGTAAGTGTATAGTATGTCAAGGAGTGCAAGCTTTCAAATTTAACTGGCATACCAGACAACAGTGCATATTTCCCAGGCATTTAGAGCTCTTGCAGTCTTTAACAGGATTCAAAGTTAAGGTTGACAACTTCATCTTTAATTCATGATACTGTGTCTCTTTTTCTTTTTATATTAACTATTAACAAAGCAGCATGCTAATAGCCTCAGTGTTGTATTCGCAGAGAGCACGCGCAATGCATGAATTGCGTACATTCCCCGGGAACGCTGTTCTACATCTCTCAGTGAAAGTGCATCTGTACGTTTTGAATAGCAAGGCAGCACCAGATCTTGAAGACCACAGCAGTGAAATTACAACTATTGTAGAGGGGAGCAAAAAATGTACTCTGAAGTAACTCTCCCCAGAGAAAGTTTCTACCTACTTAGGTACCGTTCCTCTGGTTTTGAACTCAAATTATTTCTCCCTCTTGTAGTTCTCTACAGTTGCCTCAAACTTTATCTAGAAATTTGCAAAGGATTCTACACATCAGATTTTACCTTAAATTAACACTTCATGCAGCACCCTTCCTTCCCCCAGCATCTCAGATCCTGCCTCACAAAAGGCCCCAGAAGTTGGGCAAACACAGCACCAGGAAAAACACAGTGTGAAAGGGATCTTTATGTGCATGTGTGAGGGCCCAGCGCTAATAGCTCAATGTGCTATTGACACATCACAGTGCAAACAGCCAAGTCTTTTTCAAAACAGCGCAAGTCCCCGTGTCACTCTTAACTTTGTGTTTCCCAGATTAAGAGACTTTGGGAAGCAAACAGCCCGCATACATATTTCAACGCATCTCTGGAAATCAACGTGGCCATCGGGGAGCGCCCATTCCTTTATGCCTGCAAACATCTGTTCTACACAGTACATGGGCCACAAAAAGAGAGGCAAGTGGCACATGCAGCGAGCCGGCCCACAACTTCTTGACAGCCACATCCGCAGCTGCATTCTCAATGGCAGCAGCCCAGGTACATGAACCTTGAGCTAATCCTCAGGCTTAGAATAAATGTGCTAGTTAGAGACTTCATCTGGCATCACTGCAAAGAACAGAGCAGGTAGCAGGTTCCCCTCCCACCCTCCTGGAAAGATGTACCTAGAAACCCCCGGGCCAGGAGAGCTCTGCCCAAACAAAACCCTAACAGCAGAAGCGGGACCTGCCCTGGCCAAGTTCAGTGCAGGTGTGCACCCAGGGGCCCTGCAAAACCACCCGTTGTTGCCTGGTGGGGGGAAAGGGCAAGGGACAAGTTCATTTGCTTTGGGTGGAGGGGAGCAAAGGAGGGGGGGAGAGGACAGAAAAAAGTATCAGATCTGCCCCAGAACCTCCCTGGTGCCGCCGCCTGCCAGGGGCAGGAGCCCAAGCCAGCTGCCCACCCCCAGCCCCTGGGGCTGTAAGTACATGACAAGCCCGGGGAAGAGGCACCCAGTCTCCCCGCCGCTACGGGCAACTTCTAGCAGCCCCAACCTGCGGAGCACGGGGGGAGCTCCGCTCCGCTCGCTCGCTCGCACCGGCCCCCGGCCCCCGGCCCCGCGCGCGGCAAGAGGCGGCGGAGCAGGAATCACCTTGCCGTAGCTGTAGTAACCCAGGCACTGGGCGAAGTCCAGGCTGGCGGGGTCCCCGGGCAGGGCGCTGCCCGCGGCAGCCGGGTAAAATCTTACATCCATGCCGGCGGCTGGCTCCGCTCCGCGCCCCTCCGCGCCCCGCGGGCGGCTCGGATAGATCCACCTTCGGGGCTCTGGCCGCGCTGCGCCCCGCGGCGGGGCGGGGCAGGGGGTCCCGGTCCCGGCGCC